AGTAAGATTGAGTTTGGACAATTCTTAAGACCAAATAGGTGCCATTGAAGAATGATAAGCAGGCTGGTGACATTCACGCTTGTTTCATTTCTGTTTTAGATTTCAGTTTCCCATTGCACCTAATGTGACGATTTTTCAAGAGACCATAGGTGATGGCTTTGCCATTGCAATCGTTGGCTTCGCAGTGGCCTTTTCAGTTGCCAGTGTCTATTCCCTCAAGTATGATTATCCAATTGATGGCAATCAGGTAAGTATACAACCTGCATTGGCTCTTTTTTGGTTCTCTAGTGCTGCTATAACAGACATAAAACAAGTAGATGACTATAACAAACAGGACTTATTCTCTTACAATTTATGAGTCTAGAAGTCCAAGTTCAAAGTAGTGGCTCTAGGGACTGGTTGGAGGCCCCTCAACCTTGAGCTTCAGCTCTGCCTCCTGTTTCAGGCCTACTAGAGCTGGAGGCTTTCTCTGACTCATGCAGCTGCTGAGGCCAACTAACCCAAGATCAACAAGTAAAATGGCACAGTCCCAAGATTAGTAAGCAACATGGCAGGCCGCTAGTTCAAGTTTAGAAACAGTCACAAGATCGGCAGGCAACATGGTGGGCCATGATGGCTGAGCCAAATGCAAGATCTAGATATACCAAGAAACTCAAGACTTTCTCAAAGCATCTCCTCATATACTGGAAGCAGGCCACATCCCAAAGGCAACTAATTAGCTGCTCACAACAGATTCCACCATGGAGTTGATTACACCACATTCAGTCTCATCATGGGGAATAATTGCATCCAGCTATCCAGCCACACAAAACCACTGCCCAGTCAAGTTAACACACAATCTTAACTACCACAGTTCTCGTCAGGCAACTTTAAGTAATGTTTTGTGTACATAATAGTAATGGTGCCAGTTCTAAAAGTCATCTCTTTGTTCTCTTGTCAGGAGTTAATAGCCTTTGGATTGGGTAACTTATTCAGTGGATTCTTCAAAGGATTTGCATCAAGTACTGCTCTCTCCAGATCAGGAGTTCAGGAGAGTACAGGAGGCAAAACACAGGTACTTCGAGATGTTTGCTGTGTAAGCCATGTTAGCATTAGTAACTGGGCAGTCTGAGCCAGGGAAACACTATGTGTGACAAGAATAATTGTTGTCTTCACAGATTGCCGGGCTTCTCTCTGCCATCATCGTATTGATTGTCATCGTTGCCATTGGATTTCTCCTGGAGCCACTACAAAAAGTAACACTCTTCTCTTTTTGGATAACATCTCTCTCCTTTGGGTAATGAATCAAGGACCCTGATTCTTAAACTGTGGAAACTATTTGCCATTGATCCAGTTGACTCTGAATCATGGAGGCTTCATGTGTGTCAGAGTAGTACCATGCTCCATAGGGTTTTCAATGGCTGATTTTTTGGAAGTAGACCACCAGACCTCTCTTCTGAGCTGCCTGGGGGTAGACTTGAACCTCCCACCTTTCAGTTAGCAGCCACATACATGCTAACCATTTGTACCATCCAAGGACTCCCCAAACTCTGGAAACACAAACTAAACTAGGAAAAATGAGGTAACTACAATCCTCAAGTACTCTTCTTAGTCAATAACCTATGGGCCAAAAATATTTGTTTACTCCTTGGCAGCATTTTATGAATGTCAGGAATGCAGATGCCCAAACTACCTTATCTACTCTACTCTTCGCATGTTCGTAGCCCCAAATATAATTAATGTTTCAAAAGAAGGCATGCTGGCACTGTAGGATTGACTGAAGTGAAGATTTTCCTAACGGTTGAGGTAATCAAGTTCTCTATCTAATTCAGGGAATGGTGCTACCAGCCACACAACCCACCCTTAGGAATACGCCCTCCAGCTCCCATAGCTTGGTTTAACGCCAAGACCAAAACTGTCAGATTGCAAGAGGGACGTACACAGTCTGATTTCCTGCCCAGACATGAACCACACACCTTCCCCTTCATATTCCTCTGTCCATCTCTCCCAAACTATAATTTTTCAGGATTTGGTCTAATGCTTTATAAACTTCTGCAGCATGCACATCAAAAAAAAAAAAAAAAAACAGCAAAGCCTGTTAAGCATAGGCCACCTAGGAAACCAACCAAACCCATTGCCATTGAGTCAATTCCAACTCAGGGCGATGGGCACCGTTGGGTGGAGGTGGGTTTGAACCTCCAACCTTTAGGTTAGTAGTCCAGTACAGATAATTTGGACCACCAGGGACTCCTTTAGGAAGCCAGACAATGGTAAATACATTGTCAAAGTGTGGTTTTGGTATGATTTTGAGGTGGTTCACAGAGCACCAGCTCTTGAGTCCTGGAGACCTAGTTTGAATCCTGCCCAAATTTGCTTTGGAGCAAATTACTTAACTTCCCTGAACCTCAGGTTCCCCATTTATAAAATGAGGGGTAGTGATGGGGATAGTATTCACCTCACAAAGTTGCTATGAACATTAAGTGAAAGAATTCACATGAAGTACTCACCCAGGGCCTGGCCCAGGATAAGCACTTGGTAAATTATAGCCATTATTGTTAGTACCATTATTATCGTTATGCAAATATCTATTCCAATTCTGTCTACAAAGGATGGAGAGATATGATCCAACCCACCAATGTCCATTGATAGCTCTCTAGGCCTTCTTTCCTGGTGGGCTAGTAACTGAAATATGAACTTGGTCCCAGGTTTCTGGCCTCCCAGTGTGGTCACTCCAAAAGAACTTCATTGGCCGAATTGATCTTCAAGTGTGGTAGAGTTCTTTTTTTCGAAAAAGGTGTGCTCACCATACATTGAATTTCTGAATTCAAAATGAATGGCATTAAAGGAGTCAAGAAATCTCCACCAGTGGAATAGAAGAAAGTGTACTGCAATCAACATGAATGCATACACACTCACCCTTACATGGAGCAGAATTATGGTCTGATGTCTTCTTCCCATGGTGCATTTGTATGCTACCTAAGCCATATCCATTGAAAGAAATGCAAAAATCGGTTACCATTTTATTTCCTAGCTCCCTTCTAAATAAGTCACACCTGAGGACACTGTCCGTGATGTTAATCAAAACCTCTTCTATAAAAGATCCATAAGATAAGCTCTTGTGAGACCATTGTGTCAGAAATGTCTTTGTTTCTACTAAGTAGCTAGTTTGCTTCACCTTATCATCGAAGGGCAGCATAGCCCAAAATGATAGCTAATTAGAATGTTTGTTGAGTGCTTACCAAGCATCAGCAGAGTTCTGAGCACATCATATGTATTTAATCCTTTACATCAATTGCAGAATGCATCACAGGTTCCTGATAAAATTGTTCCCCTTTTCCTTTCTATAAGGAGCTCTGGTGGCACAGGGTTTAAAGCCATTTGGCTGCTAATCAAAAGGTTGGTGGTCAACCCCTCCGCCCCCCAGCTGCTCTGCGAAGACAGAGGAAACAGTCTGTTTCCATAAAGATTTACAGCCTCGGAAACACTATGGGGCAGTTCTATTCTGACCTACAGGGTCGATATGAGTTGGAACCAACTCAATGACAGTGAGTTTGGTTTGGTTTCCTTTCTATGGTTTCTCAATGCTCTGTAATCCTTATTTAAAAGAAAAAAAAATTCTGTTGTGTTTTGTTGCAAATTGTTTTCAGTTATTTTTCTATGGAGTACTGGCCAAGTAGGAAATAATGCTGAATGAAAAGAAAAAATGATGTGTTTCTTCTAACAGGTGGCATTTGACATGTTTTATATGGATAGTAAAGGGGATGCTTATTGTCTGAGAGGTTAAAAATACTAATTTTTAACTATGGGTTTGTCAGTTGCAATTTCTTTTTATTCTTTTTTTTTTTTTTTAACTTTTTATTTTGCAGTAATTGTAGACTCACAGGGAGTTGCAAAAATAGTACACTCAGCTTCCTTTAATGATACTATCTTAATCTATTGTCATGGAATCAATTCCAATTCTAAAGGAGGTAGAATTGCCCATAGGATTTTCAAGGCTATAATTTTTATGGAAAGGAGCTCTGGTGGGGTAGTGGTTAAGGCATATGGCTGCTAACCCAAACGTCAGTGGTTTAAACCTACCAGCTGCTTCATGCAAGAAAGATGAAGCAGTCTTCTTCCATAAAGATTTACAGCCTTGGAAACCCAAAGGGGGTCGCTGTGAGTTGGAATCAACTTGAAAGCAGTGAGTTTGGTTTTGGTTTGGAATCTTTTTGAAGGCAGACTGCCACATCTTTCTCACCATCACACAAATGGTGGGTACTATCTTATATAGTTATAAAAAACAAACTTGTTGTCATTGATTCCAACTCATGGAAACCTCACATGTTTTCAGAGTAGAACTGCACTCCATAGGGTTTTCAGTGGCTGTGATATTTCAGAAGTAGATTCCCAGATGTTTCTTCTGAGGCACCTCTGGGTGAATTCAAATCCCCAACCTTTCTGTTAGTAGCCGAGTGCTTAATGATTCATGCCACAGAACCATTATACAGTACAAAGTTCAAAAGCCAGAACCTGTGTGAGGTGAAAACCTGTCAGAGAAGGAAAACTCAAATATTTTCCACTAAAACAAGCAATAGAAAAGTGATAAGACCCCACCCTGTCAAAGGAAGAAAACTGTGAGACCCAGAAAAACAAGGCAGACTCGTCGAGTTCTGGCTCTCACAGGTTTCCCTGTACAGCTATAGCACCATACTGAAAACAAGACATTAATATTGGAACAGTACTATTAACTAGACTACAGACCTTATTCAATTTTCACCATTTTTTAACCAGCATTCATTTGTGCGCCATTTCTTTTTTAAAGTCACTACAAACCAAAAGGGAGCTCCGGTAGTGTAGTGCCTAAGGCACTTGATTGCTAACCAGAAGGCTGACAGTTCAAACCCACCAGCCACTCCTCGGAAGGAAGGTTGGGCAATCTACTTCCGTAGTAATACCACCTCAGAAACCCAAGGAGGGGTCGCTATGAGTCAAGTCTGACTGGATGGCACATAACAACAACAGCAAAAACCTAAACCAAAACTCATTACCGTCAAGTCAATTCTGACTCCTAGCAATCCTATAGGACAAAGTAGAAATGTCCCATAGGGTTTCCAAGGCTGTAAATCTTTACAGAAGCAAACTGCCATATGTGTCTACTGTAGACCGGTTGGCAGATTTGAACCATTGACCTTTTTGTTAGCAGCTTAATTACTGATCCCCCAGGGTTCCACAAACTCACTTAAGATAGTATTTTCTTTGAAACAGTGAGTTTCGAAACAATGATAGTATTTCATTCTCACAATGAGTAAAACTGTTAACTCGTTATAAAATTATAAAAGTTACTTATGAAAACCAAAAAGACTTCAATCAGTTAAAACCATCCTAGAGATATGAATATAGAAACTGTGTTTGCTTTTTCTTTGTAAACTGCTTTTATGGTATAAAAGTGGTCACTATACAAATTCCAGAGTCCATTCAGAATGGAACAGCTTGAATTGGAGGACATATTTCTACAACTGTGTTAAAATCTAAATAAGGAAGAGAGTATACTTAGCTATTCAGCATTTGCCATCCTAACTACTCCTGCAAAACAGATGGTTTGGCATGTGAAGAGTCAGAAATCCAGAATGCTGCTATGGCAGAGCTGAGTTTACCACTCAGACTACCACTCAGCTGAACCCACCATTCAATGGTGCCAGTATTAGGACTTCTTAGAAGAGCCTGTGTTCCTGAGGGGTTAAAATGGCTTGGGAAATATGAGCTCATTCTCTCATCCATTAAATAATTATCAAGCCCCTCCTATGTGCATTTGGAAGGAGCCCTGGTGGTGCACTCATCGACCCCTCAGCTACTAACTGAAAGTTCTGCAGTTCCAGCTGCTCCAGGGGAAGACCTGGCCATCTGCTGCTGTAAAGATTACAGCCTAGGAAACCCTATGGGGGCAGTTCTACTCTGTCCTGTGAGGTCACTATGCATCAGCACTGACTTGAGGACACACAATAGCATGTGCATTTGGGAGCCTTTGGGTGGTACAAACAATGAAGCTCATGACTACCAGCTGAAAGGCTGATGGTTCCAACCCACCCAAAGGCACCTGAAAGACAAGCCTGCTGATCTTCCAAAAGGTCACAGCCTGGAAAACCCGATGGAGCAGTTCTACTCCGCACACCCGGGCTTGCCATGAGTTGGGATGGATTCAATGGTAACTGACAACAGCAATACATATGCATTTGGGACTCCCTGGATGTTGAAAACAGTTAAGTGCTGCACTGTAAACCAAAAGGTTGGTCACTCAAACCCACCCAGAGGGGCCGTGCAAGGAAGGCGTAGTGATCTGCTTCCAACAGCCCTGAAACCCTATAGAAACGGTTCCACTGTGCGCAAACACATGGGATCACCATGAGTTGGAATCAATTCAACAGCAACTGGCTTTGGGGTGTTTTGGTTTTCTTTTTTTAATCGGCATTTGATCATGGTAGGTTCCAGGGATATAACAGGGAACAACATAGTTTATGCTGTCCCAGAGAGTCTGCATCAAATGTTTGTTAATCTCTCTGTGATCTTTAGCTTCCTCTTCCAAAATGGCACTATTCCTGCTCATCATCAAATGTTTGAATTTAGATCCCAACTCCAACCTCCTCAAGTTATTTTTTTACAGAGAGTGAACTTCTGCCCCCACCTCCAAAAACACAGACACACATTAGACTGTCTGAGCTTGGTAAGATCTGCCATCCTCTGTCACAAGAGAATGGTGCGTAAGTGTCATCCATGGCATAAACCACAAAGGACAGTTCAGCCACCATCACTATGTCTGGAACAAAGCTATGACGGGACAGGTCAGAGTCCCAGCTCTCCAGTGTCTTGCTTGGCCTCTGCACACAGGAAAAGGGTGTATCCTTTGATATACTCTGAGGCCCTTTAAAGGACTCACTTATCTACAACCTTCACCTTTGCTTCTATATGGTTTATTTGATTAACTTAAAGTATATTGGGTGTTTATGTTTTTTAACAGTCTGTCCTTGCAGCGTTAGCGCTTGGAAATTTAAAGGGAATGCTGATGCAGTTTGCTGAAATAGGAAGATTGTGGAGAAAAGATAAATATGATTGCGTAAGTAGACACCACAGTATTTTGAAGGGATGAATCAGGGTAGCATTTGAATGCTGATTTAAAATGCATGTTAATATTTGTATGCCAATTGAAATTTCATTCTTCTGTCCATTCCAAGCAATCTGTTTCAATTGCTGGCTCTCTTTAAACAATGTATTTCTAAGGATCATTCTCTGGGATTTCAATCTAAAAATACTGGCTACTTGCAAATACAGAACTTTCTTAGACATGTCCTAAAGTTCTTGCAGTCATTCCGAATACCACAAAAACTCTCTGAATTTTGGGATACACATTACTCCCATTCTTCATTACATAGTATGTTAGTTTCTAAGGATCTGTAAAGAACTTGAATTCAAAACATTCATTTTTGGAAATATTTTACAGAGGTTATCCCTTGATCTCAGCATGCTTTGCTATGAGAAACAGGGTCAGAGTCTGTGGCATAAAAATGCTGTTAACACATCCGATGGTACTTAACAAGCATAAAGTAATGTGTTACACTTGCTTTACTTTTGTTCCCAATAGTTAATTGTTGGTAATTTGAATATCCTTTTGGAATGTAAATTTTTTAAAAAAATCTTATTGTGATTTGAGTGAAAGTTTGCAGAGCAAATTT